TGTCAATTTAGTTGTTTTGCATTAACAAATATTGAAACTTTTTTCTACTACATGTAAGCTGTTGATCACAGGCACAGATTACTCCCTTCTTCTTTTGTTTCTTATGATCTGACCTCCCTATTAAAACTACTATATGTTTGGTTATATTGTTAGTATATCTACTGAGTCTGGGAAGAAGTTACTCAAGGCATAAAATTTTTATGAAATATAATATACTTATAATTTGAATTATATTTGATTGATTTTAAAGAGCAGTTCAAAAACTTAGTCTCATTCTCTCATCCATTGATGAAAGAACGGATGGAGAAGAATTAGTTCCCCTTTTGTGTAATAACTAAAGGGGAAATTATTTAGAACATGTTAACATGTGTTGGGCATAATTCAAGACAATTTACCTACATCTGGTTTAATACCCAAAGAGTTGTTTTATACTGTTCTATCTTGTTAACAAACTGAGAATTGAAATTCATATGGAAAATAAATTTTAAAAAGCCATCCAGGAGATAAGAAAAACATATGCTGATCACAGTTGTGTCTGATTATTTAGTTCACGGTGAATTATACCACTTTGAGTTGAGAAAAAGGTAAAGTGACTTTAACATAAAGCAACATAAATTTAGCCATCCTGATGGTGAGAAGACCATCATCGTCCTCTGTTTTTGATTCTAATTTTAATACACGAATAAAAGTTGTATCAGTAAGTAATAATTCACCAAGCAGTCATTGAATCCAGTAATTGTCATCTCCAAATAATCATATGAAATAAATGTGCACGTGAGCACACCACATACATGATACCTTTGAAGTGTAGAATATGTCCTCTCTCTTCACAATGCCCTCTGCAATCTTGCTTCGGATAGCCAGTCCAACCTCCTCTTCATTATTATAGAAATAAGCAGCATCAATATGGCGAAAACCGGCTTCTATTGCTACTTTAGTGGCCTCCAGAGTTTTACTCTTTGGAACCTACAGGAGCAAACAAATGTAGCATTTGTGGGTCCACTTGATTGAGAGGAAGTGCAGGAAAAGCAGTGACCTTCACAAGCATCAAGTGTCCCTCATGTCTTGGGTTAATTCTTCATGTGAGGTGATGAACCCACTGTAGTTTGCCTGAGTCATTCCCAGTTAGTAATAAAGGTCAGGCATCCGAGGGACCCCTTCAGTACTGAGCAATCACTGGGTGACCACTGGCATTGGAGGTCCCCATGAATATTTCCAGGTTCTGTGATTTGCTGGAAGAAATCACAGGACTCATCTAATGTTATAGTCATGGTGGTTATTTATTAGTGAAGTCACAAATTAGAGTTAATACAGGGTAAAGGGTTATCAAACAATATATATAGAAGGAATCTGGTACAATATTCAATGACTCCTCTCCTAGTGAATTCACACAGAACATGCTAAATTCCCCCTGCCTTGAAATTTGAGAATATGTGGGAAATGTCTAAAAGAGGAACTCTTTAGAAACTCAGTTCCTAAGCCGTTCACCACAGTCTGGTTGCACAGAAACACTCTACTGGTACACACCAAAATTCAAGTCTCCCAAAGGAAAGCAGGTATACAAAACCCTAATATTTGTACTAGAAGTGAAGGTATAGTCACCATTGTCATCAATAAGAAAATAGTGATAAATCCAATTCCTAGATGCCATCCAGGACCCAGTTTGAAAATAAACACTTCTGTAGAGAGCAGTCTGTTAAGTCTTTTCTAAATAGGTATTCTTTATGAATGACACAACTAAGTATAAGACTAAAGACATGCTCTAAGGATATAGATTTATACATAAGAAATTAACTGCAGTCTATGAGGGGTTAGCTAAGTAGGTATCAGCCCTGAAAATCAAGTCTATTTCTTTTAGGGAAAATACAATTAAAGTGAAATTAAAATTATTGGCTTATCTAACAAATTTGGTAAAGACATAAATATGCATTTATTAAAGCCAAAAAAGGTGAAAGAAACACATATTTTCCCATTTCTTTTTAGGAATTTCTTAATTTTTTTAAAGTGAACTTATGAGGAGGAAGATACGGGGTCCTCTCTGGTCTCTCCTGCTCCCTGATGTGGTCTCTTCTTAGGTGTACAAGCACGTGGAGGATTTACCAAGGATGAGCCATCAGTGATGTTCTTCATCCTTCCTTCCCTCCCTTTCATACCACTTTCCACCATTAAGTAAAACTTCTGTCTCCTTTCTATAAAATATTTCCTTGTGTATATTCTAGTCTTATAGATGAGAAAAGTGAGACTCAGAACTTAAGTACCTACTCCCTTGTCACACAAAAGTAGTCTGAGGACAACAATAGAATATGCCATTTATATTATTCCATTTAGTGAACTCTCCATTTTGTCCTTTTGTGTTAGAGGATCACCTCTACCATTTTTATTCAAATTCAATAACAGACCAAGGATTAGAAATAGACCAAGATTTAGATTTCCCTTTGTCAGGTTGTAGTTTACCCCTAAAACGATGTTATAGTTTCCCTTCAGGTAAATTTCCAGAGGGGAGAGTAGTCCTGGGAAATTCTATCGAGTCCAGGTCTAGTATTGCTGTGTGGTGCTCATAGGATGCCCCTCAGCAGGGCTGCCATGCTCTCCCGTTATTTCTCATGCACCCCAAATCCAGTAACTTTCACCACAAGGATTTCTCTGGATCATATTTACTTTCAAAGATGAAAAATTTCTTGAGTTATAGAAATAAACAGAGAAATCACTCCCATTATAATCAACCTCCAAGAAAGTGACCTGACAGGCAGTGTCCCTGACTGCTGAGTTTCAACTCTTCTGCTAAGTTGGCAAATAGACTGAAATAGGAGGAAGAGCCAGAGCCCATAACAATCACTAGGTGTCAACATGGTTAGATGCTGAATCAGAGCAAAGTCTAACTACCTTTCCTCTTTGTACATAGAACAGCTCTAGCCTGTGAAACTGAGAACCAAACGAGCCCCTCAAGTCAGGGAGGAACAAGAACCTGACAATCCAGTTCAGCTTCCACTTCTCTTAGGTCTATTTTTAATGAATATTTGTATTAGTCTGTTTTTGTTGTATAACAAAATACATGGAACTGGGTGATGTGTAGAGAAGAACGAAATTTATTGCTTATGGTTTTGGAGGCTAGGAAGCCCAAAGTCAAGGGAACACACCTGGCGAGGGTCCCAGGGGTCTCACATTGCAAGATGGTGGAAGTAGAGAGAGAAGAGACAGACTTTCCTCTTCTTTTAAAGCCCTCAGAACCACGCCCATGGCCACCATTTTTAATCCATTCACAACTGCATGGTCCTACAATCTAATTACCTCTTCAAGGCTCCACCTTTCATCTACCATAATAGGATTTCCCAACCTCTTCACAGTCACAGTGGGGGCTAAGTTTCTAATACATAAAACTTGGGGGACACAATTGCAGTTTCAGGGAGATTTGGGGGGCAATATTCAATCCACTACATTCTGCCCCTGGACCCCCCAAACTCGTGCCCTTTTCACATACAAATACATTCATTTCATCCTCAAAGTCTCAACTTGCTTCAATTCAAAAGTCCAAAGTTCAAAGTCCCATCTGTGAAATCAATACAAGTTATCTACTGCCAAGATACAAGGGTGGGACAAACATAGGGTGTATATTCCCATTCCAAAAGGGAGAAATAGGCTAAAAGAAAGGAGAGAAAGGTCCCAAACAAGTCCGAAACCGAGCATGGAAGATATTAAATCTCGAAGCTGGTGAATATTGTAACTTGACTCCATGTTCAATGTCCTCTGCATGCTGGTGTGGGGGTTGGGTCCCCAGGTCCTCAGGCAGCTCTGCCCCTATGGCTTTCCTGGTCTCAGGTGATGCTTTAGTTCTCGCAGGCTGGCATAGCATGCTGCTAGCTCCACAGCTCTGGGGTCTCCATGATGGTCCTGCTCTCACCGCTCCACTAGACATGGTGCTGATGGGGTTTCTCTGCTGCAACTCTGACCCCACATTTCTACTCTGCATTACTCTAATGAAGGCTGTCTGTGGTGACTCTGCCCCTGTGACAGATCTCCTCCTTGGCCCCCAGACTTTTCCATATGTCCTCTGAAATTGGGGTGGAGGCTCCCAAGCCTTCTAAGTTCTGGCATTCTGTGAGCCTGCAGACCCAACACCAGGTGGACTCTGCCAAGGCTTCTGGCTTGTATTTTCTAAAGCTACATGTCTAGCCATACCTGGGGCCAATTAACCCACAGCTCAAGTAGCCAAAGCAGCGGAGTGCTGGTGCTGTAAGCAGCTTCTAGAGGTGGCCATGGGAAGTGACCCAATGGAGGGTGCCTTGGGCCTGTTCCTTGAGACCATTTTGTCTTCCTAGGCCTTTGGGCCTGAAATGGAACAGTTGACCCCAGAGGCTTCTGCAATGCCTTCAGGGCCCTTTTCTCCT